TTGTTCTTGGGATGCGTGCCAAGCTCCGGAAGGCTGTCGATTTCTGATTTGCAGCAACAGAAAGTAACAAAGGGGTATGGCAAAGTATTTTCACATATGTATGCATGACTACTCTTCGGGGAGTGTAGTCCTCGATCCTCGTGCCACCAATCACGCATCTCGATGCATGATGGCCGAGGAGTCGAATTGCACGACTCAATATGAAATGAATGCACATATAAACACAACAAGACCTAAACTCCATCATGGATAATCCGGAGTGTCGGTGACTGGGAATTGAGACACGTTCCATCACTCGAAGTACGAAATGTCCCTCGTTTCCCGTGCTCGGGCTAACTCATATCCCAAACACAATGCAATATGCATGACATGCATGAATGTGACTAATATACAACCTAGCTTGGACAATGCTATGAAATGGCATACACGATGCACGAGGTAACATGGCATACACAATGCGCTAACATACAACCTAGCATACACAATGCTATGAAATGAAATGGCATACACAATGCACAATGGACTTACATCAACATTAGTGGACCTCAGCCACACTCACATGAGTAGCCATGAGATGAAAATGAGACACTCGAAATGCGTGCACACATGCACGCAAACTGAGGACCGAACCTAAGGCAACAAATGCCACTCTACCAAAGCATGGCAAGCCATGGAATATGGTATGCAATCATGCAAATTTCAGCACTGAAATGTGATACAAAACAGCCCCGAAACATGGAAACATGGCACCCGATGCATGGAATGAATCCCGAAATTCGAAACTAGGCACATGGAATGACTTACAGCTATACAAAGCATGCATTATTTGATCATGAAGCATGAAGACAGATGCAAGAAAGTCCCAAAACATGCATATTTCCAGTTTATAAAAAGTCCCAAAAATGAATGCAAATAGGGCTAATCTATCATACAAAAATGGCCCTAAAAGAGAGATTAAACACAAAGGGACAGCAGATGGCTCCAAATGGAAAAGAGTCCTTCAACAAAGTTGAAGAGGGGCTCAGAACAGGGCACTTTACAGTTTACATCAAGCCACGAAAATAATCACAAACACTACAAGAAATTGCACTTTTGGCGACTACTTTTGGCGATGACGTCAATTTTTCATCGCTAAAAGTATATATTTGGCGACACAGTGATCAATTTCGTTGGTAAAAGTATACTTTTACTGACGTAATTTGTTGTCGTCGCTAAAAAGGCATAACATTATTTTAGCGCCAAATTTTTTGGTTGGCGCCAAAATTTCAAAACTTTTATCTACGAGGCTTGTGTTTTAGCAACACAATGAGCGTTGCTATTAGTGTGCTTACTTTTGGCGACGACAAGTTGGCGTGGGCAAAGAGTTAACCATTTAGCGACGATGAGACTATTCGTCGGTAAACGTTTTGCTAGTGGAATGATGTGATTTAGTGATTTGTGTTTTTTATTATAATTTTTGAAAGAGCTTTAAATGTTTTAGTTACTAAATTGTAAAATTAAAATGATCATTGAATTAGATTACAAAATGAACCCATTGAGCCCAAACACACTCTTAAGTTGAGATGACTAATTTGAGATAATTTAAACTTTTTCAAAGAATATGGTTAGATTAACAATTTCAATATGTTTGTTTTTATTTTCAGAAACTAGTTTTAAATTTTTTTTTCCTAAAAAACCAAAAACAAATTGGGTGAAAAAAAAATACTTATTATTTTTGTATATTTTTATCTTTTAGATCATAAATATTTTTTAAAATTTTAAAAATATAATTTTGATTTTTATTACTTGCAAATTATTTTTAATTTTTTCAAAAAAAAATCTAAAAATTATTTTGAATTTTTTTTTATATCTTTTAGGTCATAAGTACTTTTTAAAATTTTAAAAATATAATTTTGATTTTGAGGGTTCGGGCAAAGATGGGTTAGAGAGAGAGAGAGAGAAAGAGTATGCCTTCTCTCTAGAAATTGCCTAAATTTCTAGGGTTTTCTCATTCAACATTTCGTTGATAATGGTTGATCTCACATCTAATTTACGCAATTTGGTTACGATGGTTGATGGGTTAGTGACTGAAGGTTCTCCTTCGCCTAAGGGGAGTTCACACAACGTGAAAGATTTACTGTTGGAGAGGGATTTGTTAACATTGATGGTCATCATGAAGCGAAATGGGGGTAAAAATCAATCTTCTGCCTCTGAGATCGTTTTGGGTATGAGCCCTAGGGCTTCGATTGGGGTTCAGTCCGAGGTCCCTACTCCTAGTTCCTTTGTCGAAGCTATGGGTGGTCTTTGTTCCGAGATCCGAGACCTTGCTCAGTAACAAAAGCTTTGTTTTGGGGGAGAAGTGGTGTCGAGCCCTGCCGTTGTTCACTCGCAGGTATGGCTAAGGATTTATGGGTCAATTGCTTGGGCTGTTTGAAATGCCTGATCATTAGATTTTTCTTAACTAATTCATGCATTGAATCAATTTTACAGCATTGCTACAAATGTTGAGATTGAGTTGCCTGTTCCAGCCGATGCTACCAACCCAAATGTTCGGACATCATTCGGATCTGCTTCATATGCACCAGAAAAGGATGCTTTGATCTGAAAAATTAAATCTTTTCCTGGTGGTAAGGTGAGAGTTTACCTCAATTTTTTTCTCAGTGTATTGTTTGCTAGTAATTTCTTGTTCATGGCTATTGGTTATGTGGGGCTACAGTATCTTTTCCACTGGCAATTTTGACATGGGATTTTAACACTCTTTGCAAATTCAATTTAGGAATATATGTTTAGAGCAGAGTATACTCTTCCCAGCATAACATCTGAAGACGCAGCTTCTGAGAGAAAAGCTCCTATACTTGTGAAGTTTGAGATACCATATTTTGCTGTTTCAGGAATCCAGGTTTCCCCTCTCAAATACAAAGTTTTTTTTTTTGTTTTTTAATTAAATTTTTTATTGAATAGAAAATTCAGATATTGTTGCATTTATATCTGCAATGCTTCATTCTTTCTGTGTCTGCTGTGTTTGCGTCTTTTTTTTCATTTTTTTAAATCTATCTAGACAAAGGTGGAATGGATAAAACCAAACCTTGTGTTCCAATCAGGAATGATAAACCAAAACCAAACCAAACTTTGTGTTCCAATTAGGTGGGAGGATTCATACTTGATGTGGTTGAACACTCAAATCTGATGCAGGATATCACTCCCTGTTACGTGCATGTAGCCATGCACCTACCATTACTGCTCTGCTCTCCTTGATCAAATCAACAAATATAAAAAAAATAAAAAATAATAATAATAATAAAAGGTTGGTTGTTGGACTGAGAATACTATTTCACTCACTTCCTAGGATTGCAGGATACATAAATCTGCATTTTGTATGACTCTTTTTTGGGTTTCATTATGCCCTGAAATGCTTGTCCTCCCAACAGAGGTCATGAATGACTGTGAACAACTGCTCCCCTGTAACTACCTATTCCAATATTGCTTCCTTTTGACTCTGCATTAAAAGGGCAAACCTGCTTTTTAAATTCACAGATGTGGATACAAAAAAAGGCCAAACTACTCTCTGTCTGTCTCAGTCATTTTGGCACTGTAATTTGTCATTAGCCATTGACAGAAGCTGTGCTTGTTGATGTGATATTCCTGCTCCTGCACTGTATTTCCTTTTAGAATAGAATAGCCTGTTGAACTTCTTAGAGATGTGGTTTTCCACAGATGTTAGTGATTGAGCATGATTGAACCTATGTATTATAATTATTTTGATTCTTGCTTGCTGCTTTTTGCTGCTGGGATGTGAAACTTCTAAACCTTAAGCAAAGGGGTTGATGCCTACTTGCCCTAGTTCTGGTCTTGTTCTTGTTCCGAGGAGTGAACAGTGCCATTGGTTTTAACTTTGAAATTTATTTTATTTTATTCAAGTTGGTTGGGGAAACTGCTTTGGTGACTTTTCATGATGACGCATTCCTACTTTTTGGTTCTTCTGGATGCTCAGTTTGGTTCTTAACGTAACGTAATAACCATAATAAAATAATATCCTTTATTTATGTAAATGTTGTGTTTTGTAGGTTCGTTACCTAAAGATTATCGAGAAAAGCGGCTACCAAGCTCTTCCATGTGTGAGATACATAACCATGGCTGGCGAGTATGAACTAAGACTTATGTGAAAATTCACTTCCACCTGTTGGTGTTCTCAATCTTTACAAACTCGCATGATTTTGCACTTTCGTGGGCAAAATGAGCCTATAGGAGAGTTAAATTGCCCCTATACAGACAAATAGCTAATTGAGCAAATTCTTGTGCGTCCATTTTCTTTGTTGAAGTCATTGTTGATTATCAACCAGAGGTTTGTAGAAGTTGATGTTTACTAGCAAAGTTTATTCAGACACTTGTGAAAATCAAGTTAACTTTTGTGAATTAAAGTTTGTTTGTTCGTGATATTTTTATGAACTCGTCCGCTTTTTATGTTTTTATTATTAATCAAAAAACTGAAGGTATATGCATCAGCACAAGATGATTGTCATGGTAATTTATGTATGATAGAAAAGCCTTGTTCTTATGATGTCAGAGCTTCATGTGTTCAGTTACATGATCATCTGACGTCCACTTGCATTACAACCTAAACTGATTGATGTGCTCTTTGACATCAAGGCATTAATCTTTCCTTTGGCAGGTACGCATCTTTTGGACCTGAATATGCCTACCCACAGGTCAGTAAATTCAAATCTCAACTGCTAATGGGTATTTTGGTACTCTAATTGGTTCTGGAAAGGAATATATGCACAATCATGGTGTGTTCTGTCTATTTTTTCAGGGTGTCTACAATCCTCACATGGGTCAGCATTACCTTCAAATATATGGCGTACCAGGCACAGTTAACACAAATATTGTCCTATATGGACAAATGGGTCATCCTCTCTCTGGCAACCATGGGTATCCAACCATTCAGGGTTATGTGACACCAGGTCGTCATGTTCTGCAATATGGGGGACCCTTCGTCAGTGGAGTAACTACAGACACTATTGCCACAACTCAAGCACAATACCTTGCAGGTAACCCTCTCTCTCTCTCTCTGCTTTGAGCTGGGAAATGAGTGTGAAAATTATGCATACCAGATTTGGCATATAGCCAAAAAAATTATCAACCTGGAGTTGCTACTGCAATTTTGTTAACAATACATATTTGCGTATGTGCATACGCCTAAGTGTATAAATGTCCATCCATGTTACACACAGACATGCAATTCTAGAAGCGTTACAGTTTTGATTGTCAATACAATGATAATTAAGTGGAGACCAATTCATTCTTGCACAGATCCAGGATCATGTGAGATGTTTAGGATCAATAAAGATGTGTGATTATGGCTGAACCGAAGGTAGCTTGATGAGGCATCCTTCTGGCTGCTGTATGGTTGTTTTGGGCCTTCTGACTGTTGTATGGCTGATCTAGCAAGTTTCTTTTTTCTTTTTCTTCTTAGAAGCTTCCAACCAACCATACAACCTTTGGTTAATACCTTCCTATATGATGTTTAGCTCCTGGCAGGAGCTATTGCTGAACAAAAGGGGTTAAAAAAAAAAGAAAAAAAAGAAAAAAAAATGTTATTTCAAATCTGCCTCCTTAGAAGAACATATTGATGAAGAAGATATTCTCTAAGCAATACTATATCCTATAATAAGGTTATTTATGTGATGGTTGGCATTGCTTTAAGGGTGAAGTTTTAGGAATTGTTGGTTTGATTATGCTCCTCAAAATTGTTACTCTGACCTTGTAAGGATTGGTTAGGACAGAGATGTTAGTGGCTAATATTGTCAGTATTAGTAAAGTGATTGTTCTCTTGTCAGAATTTCATTTTAGTACATTATTTTAGTTAGCTTGGAAATAGAAACATGAGGAAAGCATAAAAAAATGTTTGTAAACAAAAACTAAAACCTAACTTAATGGATAATTGAACATGGTTACACTAAACAAGGTTTACGAATTGCACACACACACACACACACACACGCATGTATATATAAAAGAAGAAGAATAAACATAGACAACAAGAGGGTGATGTGCACATTCTTATGCGTAATTGTTTACGATCTAAAACTAAAGCAGATGAGAGAGGTTGAAGAATAAAAAACTAAAGCAGTTGCCTACTTGAATATAGAACTCAAGTAAAGCAAAGTGACTATTTCCTTATTCTGCTCTTGCCATAAGAATTATTGACATAACTTCAACAAGGAGGGTCAACAAATATATATATATATATATATATTGTAAGCAAATAAAGAAAAAGAAGACCCAACCCTATACACTCAATCTATAGATTCTATATTGAGGTTATGGTACTACTTGAGGAACTTGGACACCATGCTCCATTCCAAGGCCCTACTGTAAGTGTGAGCCTTGTGCACTGGGTATAACCTTTTTTGTCTGGATTGCTCTCTCCTCTTGTTGGTTTAGCATTAGGCATGGCTGGCTGAGATGCAAATTAGCAGCCTCTTGATAAATATTTTGGTCAAAGATAAAACTTGAAAATCTGAAATCTTAACTTTTGTCAAGTGTTTTCATAAAATGCTAATTGATTACCCCCCCAAACACACAACATACAATTTCTTCCTCATTTAAGAGAGTGGAGGGCTTTGGTTTGTTCTAAAGTAATAGCATCTTAATGGGTTGGTAGTTTGTGATTGCAGCTTACTCTTTTTTCAGGATTTGTCAGTTATCAAATGGTTCGAGATGCAAATGAAGGTATATTTATCTATTGTAGCAGTTAATCCTGGACTCATTTTAATATTTGGGTCTCAGGACATTTACTGTTTCTATTGATTACAATTTTTCTTCATCATCTAACGTGTGGCATTAAAGACATTTCCTGAGTTCCAATCTTGTAGCATATAACACTTCATATGCTCATTTGTACTTGTTCCTGCTTCAGTGACTCATGCAGCCACACAGCTCTTGATTAAGGAATAGTGGTTTTGATTGAGATTTTATAATTGCTGCTGATTATAGTTGAAAGTAGTCATCAACTTGATGCATTATAATTTTGTGAAATTGAATGAAAAGAAATACCCTTGTCCTTGAAGTTTGTTTTATTCCAATAGGTGTGTTTTAATATTTCAAATGAATTTTTATTGGTGGATTGTTTCATGTTGACTCCCACTAGTTGATTGATCAATATTGAAGCAAGTGTTTCCATGAAGTCCATAATATAATGTCATTTTCCGATGTAAATGATTTGTGGCAAGTAGCATATCACTATGTGCATGCAATTAGCTTATGCAGACTGCTCGTCCACTTAGGCTTTGAGTTCAATATTGATTAGTGGAAAGTATTTAAAATTTCTCCTTACTGACAAATTGTTTCTGCTTTGAAACTTTTCTCCACACTTAATTATCATCCAACTACTAACAATTATCGATATGGAAATAATAAAAAAAAGAAAATTAAAACTATTCAAGCCATGTATTTATTGATGTGGAAATAATTTTCAACTCCTTTGGTCGATCAAAAACTTGACATTTAACAGTTTACCTTGCTAGAATAACAAAGTTTATAGCATAATCTTTTAGTTTGTGATATTCAATCAAAATTTTACAACTTCCCGAAATAAAGTTTTTAGCTATGACATTTCCATTACAGAGTTTGATTAAATCACCAATTCTGGATATCAGAGTATTGCACTGAAATTTTATGTATCAATTTTGAGCATTATTCTTTTTTTTTCGATCAACTACAAAAAAAAAAGAAGAAAAGTTATTCTTTCTTTGTCTGGGCTTATCTCTCCCTCTCCTTTACAGCTGGGAAGTCAGGATTCAGGAGCCTCCTGTCACTTGGACATTCCCCTGGGAAAACTTACAGGATTCACATGAAAGGCTCTGGAGGACGTGGGGAGGTGTAAGTTGCTGTTTCTCGTGTTGTAGGTAAATAAGAAAATCTTTTTTTTTCCTCCCTCATTCTGCAAGTCTTCTAATATTTTGCAGTTTTTTTAACCTTAATTTTATTGGTGATAATGTTTTTGCTGGTGAAGATATGAATTGAATTGATTCGTATTTCATAATGAGTAATGGAACTTTACAAACCTTGACTACCTTGGCGTCTGTTGGTAGAATTTCATTTAAATGTTTTTATTAAACTTACCATTCTTATTTAGCATAGCTGATCCACCCCAAACTCCCTTCCTTCCCCGTTCCAGAAACAGGTGCTTATGGTTTGATAGCTGTAAAGCTTTCTTCTGAAATATCTTCTCTAAAATAATTATTGCTTTTTCTTTTTTAATTATTTTTCTTGGTTGTGCGGGAGTGACAGTTTATCTATTATTGTTTTTCTTTGATACATTGAATTTGGCACAATAGAGGAAATTGATTCCTTTTTCCTTAGGTTTTTGTAAGTGCCAAGTTTGCTAGGATTTGCTTGAGAAGTATGTAGTTTACAATATATTGATATGGTTTGTTTTCTGCACTTGAATTGTGTCATTTTAAGCCTACTATAGTAATGTTTAACACTCATACACACACACACACACACACACACACACACACACACACACACACACACACAGAGCTACCAGATCAATAAAAAAGCTAATGGACTTTGTTTTAAACTTGTCATTGATCAATACAGATTGCTACAAGATCCTCCTTTTTGCTGGTGGCTGATGGCTATTGCTTGTTGGTCTGCTGCAGTTGCTGGTCTGCTGCAGTTGATGGTTTGCTGCTATTGCCGCCCTCGTGGCTGATGCTTGCTAGGCTGCTGTTGCTGCAATGTTGCTGTGAAGCGGCTGCTACTAGATTTTGGTCTGCTGGATAAGTTTGTGGGTGATTTTCATGTCGTTTTGCCTGTCTTTGTTAGTTTCATGTTTTCATTTTGTTATCTGTTGTTTCTAGTGTGGGTTCACCATTTGGATGTATTTGGGTATTTTAGTGACTTTACCCTTTTAGGTTTTATACATTGCCTTTGAAAGCAGTATCACTTGTGTTTTTTTTGCTTGCACATCAACTTTAGGTGATTTCATATCAATGTTATTAGTTTGTAATAGTGGTGCCTGAGGGATGCCTCTTGTAAATCCGTAAATCTTATAAAAATATATAAATTATTTTTAATTATTTTTGTTGGTAAATGTGTCGCCAAAAGTTTATTTTTGCCCACTCATATTGTGTTGCTAGAAGTGTATTTTTTGTTAATTCCAATTTGTCGTTGCCAAAAGTAAACCTTTATCGACAAACAAATTGTCGGCAAATGGCAATATTTACCGACGTAAATGTATTGTCAAAAGTTTACTTTTACCCACTCATATTGTGTTGCTAAAAGTATATTTTTTGCCAATGCTAATTTGTCATTGCCAAAAGTGAAGTTTTATCGACAAACAAATCGTAGGCAAATGACAACATTTACCGACGTAAATGTGTCGCCAAAAGTTTATTTTTGCCGACGCATATTTTTTTGCTAAAAGTATATTTTTGCCCATGCAAAATTGTGTCGCGAAAAGTGCCACACAATCATCATATTTGAATGACTTTTACCGACGCAAGGTAAATTGCCGACGATGGATGAAGGCTTTTATCGACGACTATGTTCGTCGCTAAAGGCATTACTTTTACCAACGCATCGATAATTTCGTCGGCAAAAACTTTTGCCGACTCACTTTTGCCTACGAGTTGCCAACGTAGCTTTGTGTGTCGGCAAAACTTTTTGCCGACGAATTTTCCCTTTTAGCAACATATTTTGTTGCATTGCGAAAAATGTAATTTCTTGTAGTGAAATAAGGCCGAACTATCATGCTAGAAAAGGCCTAAAAGAGGGGAAAGAGACAAGTGGCAGCTGCTGTTCTCAAACAGAGGAGAGCCCTTCAATAATGTTGAAGAGGGGATCAAAAAAAGATATTTTACAGTTTATGGAAAGATCCAAAACAGCTCACAAATAAGCCAAAAATACTATGCAAAAATTGGCCTAAAAGAGAGATAAAGAAGCAAGTGATAGTAAGAGGCCTCAAACAGAGGAGATCCCTTCAACAATGTCAAAGAGGGGCTCAAAAAAAGTTATTTTACAGTTTATGACCAAGTCCAAAACAACTCACAAATAGGCCTAAAATACTATGCAAAAATTGGCCTAAAAGAGAGATAAAGAGGCAAGTGGTATTAGGAGACCTCAAACAGGAGGAGGTCCTTGATCAAACATGAAAATGGACTCAAAATATGACTATTTACAGTTTCAGTCGGAGCCCAAAAAAGCAAGCAACAAAGGCTAAAATAGCATGCAAAATAAGACAAGAAAGAGGGAAAATGGGACTCACCCTTGTAGAACCAAGCTTCAACAGCTTTTGGACCAGGTTTGGGAGCTCTTAACCTCTGGAAAACAGCCTCAAGTTGCTGGAATGGATGTTGGAGGTGTGGTGCTATGAGTTGTAGTGTAAAGGGTGCAAGAACCTTAGGGTTTGAAGGGTTTGGAAGAGAGGGAGAGGGAGAGTTGTATGCAAGGCTTAAAATAAAATTTGTAACCCCCAAAATGCAGCTGAGGGTGCTGGTTTTATAGGGAAAGGAGTGGATGAAAGGGGGGAAAATGGGGGGGAAAACCAATTCAAATTTCCCC